TTTTGCTAAGGTTGAAGGTGAAATGGACAAGCTTGCAATGGAAGAAGCTGGATTCAGAAACTGTGTGAGTGTCCCATTTGGTGCTCCTTCGAAAGTCTCGAATAAGGCTTTACCCTCTGAAGATGAGGTACTGTTTATCCTTATCTTAATATTTGAGATTCGGTTTCTTCAATGGTCTGACCATTAGAAATCAGAAATCATCGATCACTTCTGTTGTAGTTCATATTTGTTGTAAAAGTAATGTCTTGTCTTGGATTTTCTTTTTATTTTTGTTTTATTTTGATAACCGTAATTCTATGTCCACATAAGGTACTTGTTTTTCTCTTAGAAAGTTTTTTAATACTGTAATAATTTAGTACAAAGGGTATCGATATCTATGGAACTGCAAAGACTATGAAAAAGGTACAATATGTCAATTTTTTTTTCCCCATAACGTAGTTATTTATTAATGATAGTTATTTATTAATGAAGGCAAATAGACCAAATTGTTGCATTCTAATTTCTTGGTGTTTTCAAGGCATCTCGCATAATTCTTGCCACGGAGAATGACCCTCCTGGTCAAGCCTTAGCCGAAGAACTTGCACGGTGCTTGGGAAGAGAAAAGTTTTATTTTATTTAATATTTTATGTCCATACCTATAATCATGTGCATCATAAAGCATAAGTTTCTATTAAGAAGTAAACAACTTTCATTGATTGAATACAGTTGTTGAAGCGTGAAATGGCCTAAAAAGGATGACACGACAAGTTTCAAAGATGCAAAATGAGGTTCAATAACCATTTTTGACCTTCTCATTGTCTGAGAAAGTTGTAGTATTCATGCATCTATGGCCGACTTTTCTTCGGTTGATTTTCATATCTCTGTAGTTGTGCACTGTTTAAATTACTGGACTTGGATCTGCCCTTTTTCTTTATTATCCCTACCTATTGGTATTATTATATTCGACACTTCTAATGAAGGTGCTTATGTATATGGGTCCTGATGCACTGAGGGATGTCATTGAAGCTGCCGAGCTTTATCCAATACTTCAAGACCCAAATCGTACTTTAAACAACTCTTTAACAAATGTAAGTGAATAGGCGCTACTCAAGTAAAAGCTTTTTTTTAGTAAGAGCTGGACTATTGATGCTATTTTCATTCAGTCGTGCTACTTTGTTTTCAGGCATCTGCAGATGTGTTACACCCAGTGAATTCTGACTTCATTCCATAGATTATACTACCAGCGTAAATCACATGGGCATTCAGCAAAACCTAAAGGTTTTTTCCTATTTTTCTACCAAGTTGCTATTGTTGTGCATGTTTTGGAACCGAACCATTATCACTTCTTGAAGTTTCATTATGGTAATCTCCAACTCAAAAGTCTTCTTGTATAGCACTGCTCTAGAGGCTTGCACAGGCCAAAATTTAATAACCGTAAATAAACATGTCTATAAAGCAGGTTTAATATCTCTGCACCAAATCAAATATAAAAATTTTAAACAGAAAGTTGAAATAATACTCAGCCAAGTGACTCAAATATTTGTTAAATAAATATACCACCGAATGTCTCATAATACATTTCTATAGAAATGAAGTCATGAATGATGAGTGTGAACTTGCAAGTAGATCCTTTTGACAATTCCATTGTAGTTAAAAATATCCCGGCAGACCAACCCCATAATAATATATCAATCAAAAGTCAACTAAAATGTACATAATTAGAACGATTCACAACATTTTGACTACATAGGCCAAACTTCTCGAAACAAATGATATCAATACAACATCCACAAAAACAATTGCATGCATGCAATAAGGGCCAACTTATGAGAATAATTGTGTACTTGGATTGCTGTCTCGATGTCCTCATCCAAAAATAAAGTTAACTAAAAATTCATTTTTCGCTGATGGTTTGAAACTACTTATATATTACCTTTCCATCGTCGTTAATATCCATCAACATAAACATATTTCTAATAAGTTCAACGTACTTAACGGATGAATATTTAGCAGTTACCTACAAAGTTATTTAAGTATAAAACCTTATTAGTAAGATAGAGTATAATTAGTGAACTATAGGGAGTATTGACAGGGTAAACAATCCATCACTTTTAAATTTCTTAAAAGTGTGCATATAACTAAGCATTAATTTTAATATTTTCCCACCATGTTACATATTGTAACAATTTTATGTCCATTGCAACATCAAAGATAAAGTTGAGAGGGCTTGATGCTAGGTGATTACACTCGATGCTCTCTTTGAGTTTGTTAGTGACAGAAAACTACTTGAGTCTTACACTTACTATATCGAAATAAGGTACTGTTTTAGTTGATGAAATTAGCTATTATAATTTATAATGTTGAACACAAAGATTTTGACACATTTTAGAATCTCAAACGAAAAGCATACTACTGAATCCTATTCAAGCTTCTAAAAACTGAAAGAAAGCAGCATAAGATAAGATAATATAATGAGAATAGTAAAGAGGTCTCATATATATACATATACGTGCTCAAGTTTTGTGAATAGAAGAAAACACCGAATGACAAATCAATAAGAGCCAATAAAATCTTAAAACAAAAGAAGCTATTTGAAATTCACGATCCTAAAAAGCAAGAAAAAA